GCCATGTTTAAACTTGTACATGGCAAAGTCTGTCTGGAAGGATACAGAGGCATGGTTTGGGGTGCCCTTAGGAAGAGGTAGTAGAGGCTACAGAGGAGACTTTCCTTTTCACTGTCAGCCCCAGGGTCATCTGAATGTTGGTCATGTAGAGGGATTTTTGACTCAATATTGAGCCTACTAAATTGTGGCCCTTGCTTCTCCCCATAAAGTTTGGAGAAGCAGGCATCAAATACTCCACAGTGGGTGCCTCTGGGGGAGGTGAGATGGGAATCAGAGGTGGAGGAAGAAAGGAGCCACAAATTTACACTCATTTTATTTAATTTTATTTAATGGCCTATTTTTATAAACAATGCCTAAAAGATATATTAAATCCATTTTAAAGCAAAACTAGCTTATGAAGAGTTCATATAATAGAATCCTGCTTTCATTTTTGTCAACATCTTTTTATAAACATCAGGACACCTCGGCCAATCCAACAACCAGAGACATTTCTTGCCCAGTCCAACTCAAGGAAGCAAAAGGGACCCTGATCCTGTCCACAACCCAGGCAGGGGGTCAACGGGACAGGTGAGTCCCCCTCGGCCGTCTCTCACCTTCAGGTCCCGGTGAACCACCCCCATCTGGTGGCAGTGCAGCACGGCCTCCAGGATCTGCTGGATGCAATGACTGGGGAGAGAAAAAAGAAGTTGCAGGGTGAGGTTGGCCTCCCCTGGGGAGCCAGCAGGTGCCAGTCCCCTAGCCTGGGGTCCACAGCTGGGCGGCACCTGCTCTCACCTGGCATCTGCTTCACTGTAATACTCCCGGGCCACGATGTCCTCAAACAGCTCCCCGCCGGTGACCCTGAGGAGACAGGCAGAGTCACCACCACCCCCAGAGGCCCAGGTACCCTCTCTGCTGGAAGAGTCCCCAGGAAGCTAAGGGTGGGGACCAGGGACCTGGGAAACTGAACCCCAAAGAAGCCACACCCTCCTGCAGCAGCAACCCCCCTACCTGGGTTCCACCCTACCTTCCACCTCCCTCTGGGCCCTTCTTTTCCAAAGGGTCCCAGTCTGGAGTCTGAGCCCCAGGCAGGACACAGCGGACATGACCATGGTTCATGATGCTCTGGAAGGCCGAGGGTGGGACCCAGTGTCATTTGTAATAGTTATTTTTTAACTTCAAAGTAAATTGAGCAGAAGGTACAGAGATTTCCCACCTACTCCTGTCCTGCATCCCCCACCCCCGCCACGCCTCCCCCATCATTGACATCTCAGGGCTGTTTTCCACAGATGAGACCAGTGTTGTGGCTGAGTCTGCCTGCCAATCCAGGGATCACTGAGGCCAATCTTTTTGTTAGTGCTTTTCAGCCAGTCAGCTGGTTTGACAAAATTTAAATTTATTCCAAAAGGAAATTTTATATTGTCACTAGGAATGGAAAACCAGCATCACTGACCACAAATAGGAACAAAGCTAAATAGACGAAGATGCACTTGCGGGTGTTTCGGGGAAAAAAACCCTCAGCTGGTGGAGCTAATGCACTTAGGAAACTGTTTCATGACAGGCGCAGGCCCTCCCAGGGGCATTTGGGCCCCTCAGGCCCAGAGGTCAAGCAAGGTCACCCCTGCATACCCAGAGGGGGCCAAACTCACAGGTCGAAGATCAGGTAGTGGTGCCCCTCCTCAGAGATGCTGTCATGGAGCCGGACTGTGAGGGGGTGAGGCAACAGTTACATGACACACACTGCCCCCACCTCCACCCTCCTTACCCCTCCAGCAGCCCATAGCCCGATTCCCACAGAGTCGCTGGGCACAAGCCAGGCACGAGTGCTTGACAGCACAAGAGCTCAAAGACATCAATATCACACCAACAGGCCCTGTCCCGACAGTTGGACCCTTCCTTCTCCAACCTTCAGTCTCTCTCTTTTTTTTTAGGATTTATTTATTTATGCATACAGAACCAAGATACAGGCCAGAGGTATAGAGGCAGTGAAAGGATTCACCAGAGACAGAGTGGGGAGCAGAAAAGGCCGACCGACGAAGTACACTGCTGAGGGGAGCAGCGGGCGGGTCAGGAGAGGTCTGCTGGCCATGGGGTCACCTCCGGGGCAGGTGGGAATCAAACTCATGCAGAAGTGGCTTTAGCTTCTTAGTGCTGTGCTTTAACTCGCTGTGCCACCAGACAGGGCCCAACCTTTGGTCTCTTTGTTGGGCAAGCTGGCATTGTAGACAGAGCCTTGCTGAAATCTTTGCTCCTTCTTTCGGGCAGGAGCTCCCCCTTGCTGGACTGTGAATATAAGAATGTGAGACTCCCGGACTTGCAGGCTGAGGGGAGAGGTCCTGGAGGCCCCCAGTCGGTGTTCACTCAGCATTGGCCCTGAGCCAAGACCCCTTTCAGCCTCTGGCTCTGAGGAGATGAGAGGCAGAGTGGACACTTGAGTCCTGGCATGTTGAGACACTGTCATTTTTTTTCATCCCTCACCAAGAACACAGGCAAACCCCCCGAGAGCCCAGAGCTCCCAAAATTAAAATAAGGGCCTGAGGCCTGGGGCCGACTCTGAAGCCCAAACGCTGGCAGCCACAGGCAAGTTCTCCAAGGACAGGGTCACATCCTTCCAGCCACAACCTAAAAACATCCCCAGAGCTGGTGTGGGCTGGGAGAATCATGCTGCATCGCACAATGGGAAATGACACAGCTGTTCAGATAATGCGGCAGCTACAG